GTGTGTGTGTGTGTGTGTGTGTGTGTGTGTGTGTGTGTGTGTGTGTGTGATTTCTGGGTAGTATTCCATAGTGTGGACATACTGCTGTTTGCTTAACTATCCCTATACTGAACACTGTGGGTATCTCTAGTCTGAGGTCATCTCAAATAACGGCTCATTTTAGTTGCGGTCTCTTGCTGTGTAGACACCAGGCCCAAAGCAGCTTGAGGAGGAAAGGGTTTCTTACATGTTCTGATCACAGCTCGTCACTGGGGGAAGCCAACTCGGGCACTCCAGGCAGGCACCTGGAGGCAGGAACTGAAGCAGGGCCTACGGAGAAGCACTGCTTACTGGCTTGCTCAGGTTGCTCCCTTACACCCCCCACCAGGACCACCTGCCTAGGGGTGATGCCGCCCAGAGTGGGCTGGGCCCTCCCACATCAATCATTAACCAAGGGAATGCTTCCACAGGCTCATTCTAAGGACAATCTGATGGAGGCATTTTCTTTCTTTCTTTCTTTCTTTCTTTCTTTCTTTCTTTCTTTCTTTCTTTCTTTCTTTCTTATAAAAGAAAACATTTAATTAGGTCTAGCTTATAGTTGCAGGGTGGCACACAGGCAAACATGGTACTGGAGAGGTAGTTAAGAGTTCTACAACTAGACTGGCAGGCAAAAGGAAGAGAGAGACAGACACTGGGCCCAGCTTGCGCATTTGAAACCCTAAAGCTCACCCCCCAGTGACACACTTCCTCCAACAAGGCTGCACTTCCTGATCCCTGTCAAGTAGTGCCAACCCATAATGACCAGGCATTTTCTCAATTAAGGTTCCTCTTCCAAGATGATTCTAGATTGTGTCGGGTTACAAAACAAACAAACAAAGTCAGCACAGCGCTCGCTGCACACAGGTTTCGAGGAGGCTCGAATGTCTGGCAGTGTGATGGCAGTGTCACGGTGAAATGTCTGCTTGGTACCTAGAGAAACCACCGAACTTGTCCACACAGCTGCTGCCATTTCATCTCTGCCAGCCATGTAGGAGATGGTTCCAGACTCCTGGCCAGCAGCGAGTGCTGTCCACAACTTTCATTTTAGGTATTGTGAGAGTGATGAAGGCAGGGTAAGTCTCCGTACTTGCCTCATTTCTGATTCTAGGGAGAGGACATTCGGCATCCTGCCATTACATAGCAGGTCAACTATAGCATTTCCGGAAAGTTTTCCTAGTCTTTGAACAAATTCGACTGATTTAACTAAAGCTCTCCATGCCTTCTGTGCTACTTTTCTCACTGCCTTGGCAAATTACCTGATGGGAAATAGCAGAGAACCTTGTCTGAGTGCACAGTATCTGGAGAGGTCACTCTGTGTTTACCTGTCCCTTTGTGTGTGGTCAGAGTGTCATGGCTTCAGGCGTGTGTGGCAGAGGGTCTGCTGAGCTCATGACAGAGAGGAAACAGAGCGGGAATGCATGAGACAGAGGGGCGGAGACAACCCAAGGACACGCCCCAGTGACCTGCTCTGCTTCCTGCAGTTAGGTCTCCCCCCCTTCCCATCACCTCCCAATTGTCTGTCTTATTACAAAGCCAATCACTGAGATAAAGACTCCAGCATCTCCATGGAAACCACCGTCCCAGACACTCCAGAGGTGCATTTCTCGGCTGCCCAGGACTAGTTTTCCCAATCTTGTCAAGTTGACCATCAAAAGTAGTCATCACATCCCCTTTCACACGGTCTCCTACATGACAAAGTCTCCATGCCAGGGCACAGAAAACCTGTGCAGTGCCCACAGTGGGAAAATCAAGAGAAAGAATAGGATTTGTTCTTAGCACATTAAGAGAGAGACTTTAAGCCAGGTGTGGTGGTTCACGCCTTTAATCCCAGCACTTGCAAGGCAGAGACAGGCAGATCTCTGAGTTCGAGGCCAGCAGCCTGGTCTACAGAGGGAGTTCCAGGACAGCCAGCACTACCATAGAAACCCTATCTCAAAAACAAAAAAAGAGAGAGAGAAAGAGAGAAAGAAAAAAAGAAACTGACTAAATGACTGACTGTAGGTCATTTTAATTCCCTTTAGCCAAGGTGAAAACAGGGATCTATTTAATTTTCTTGTTTTGTTTATTGTTTGTGTGTGAGAGAGAGGGAGAGAGAGAGAGAGCCGTAGGAGGCATGTGGAAGTCAGAGGACAGCTCTGTAGAGTTGGTGGGATGGGTCACCTTCTTTACACAGGTGGCAGAAATTGGGCTCATCTGTCCAGGCTAGCATGGCAAGCAATTTTACCCGCTGGGGATCTCTCCTTTTGAACCCGACTAGAAGATTTTAAAAGACATAATTGTTTGAAAGGCACAGGCTTCGAGGACAGAGAGATCTGGGCCTGAACCTCTTCCGGCCATTTCCTGGCTATGTGGCTTTATGCTTCTGTCCCCATCTGTAAACCGTGTACCTCAGGGTTCGTGTGCCCACTGAATGAGAAGAGGTGTCCTGGCACACGGTGCGAAATAAAGAGCACCGTGATGTTAGTACAGTCTCATAAAACAAGGCTGAGAGGGGGTCTCAGGGGGCCTGAGTGGGCACCTGTGGAGACCGAAAGCTGTTTGGAAAAGGCAACTAATGAGAATTGTTACTGTACAGGCAGAAATTGAGTGGCATTTGATAGAAAATAATTGGCCACCTACTGTCCTTGGCCTCATCCCAATGGAAGTGACCAGGGTGGGGAGCTGACTCAGCAGTTAGGAGAGCTAAATAGATGACCCAACACCCACAGGAGGCTCACCACCACCTCTAACTCCAGTTCCAGGAAACCCAGCACCCAGAAAGTCCAATGGGTAATGTAGTCATGTGCACAGACACACATATAATAATAACAACCACAATAATAATAAATACTAGGCTGGAGAGACCGTTCAGAGGTTAGGAGCTCTGGCTGCCTTCTCAAAGGGCCCAGGTTCAGTTTTCATTCCCGGCAGCCACAATGAGACTCTCAACCAACTCCAACTCCAGTTCCAGGGGATCAGACATCTTCTTCTGGCCTTCAAGGGCACTCCCTTACCCTCACCTCTCCACACACACACACACAAATTAAATTAAAATTAACATTTAACAAAGTTCATAAGCCTAAAGGGAAGAAAACACAAACAAAAAATAGCCTTGAAATCACACAGCAGTTACACTTAGCAAGTAGTTACTTTTTTTTTTTTTTTTTTGAAAGGCCAGTGGAGCTGGTGAGACAGAGAGTAAAGGTGTCATCATCATGTACACTCACCTCACAGACATTTACCTGGTGTGCCAACCCTATGGGAGGCAGAGCAGAGTCACATGGTCCTGCCGTCCGGGAAGCAGAAACAGGCCTTGAGTTTCCACAGACGTGCTAATGGTCACACGTCAGCATCAGAGCTGGAAAGGAAAGGCCGGAAAAGGTCAAGGAGGGCCCAGCCACCCAAGGGATCCAGAGGCAGGTGGGACTCCTCATGTGGCCATCAGGGGTCTGTCCAGACTGGGAGAGCAGGGGGGGAAAGGAACGGGGGGTGGGGGTACCGAATTTCATGAAGTCACACTTGAGAACCTCCCCTCCCAGCTTAACCCAGCTCAGCTCAGAGCTAGACCCTCCTGAAGTGTACTGCACAGTTTAATAGTGGAGATGGCTCCTGCCTCTGTGTCTGTCTCTGTCTTTGTTTCTCTGTGTCTCTCTCTGTGTATGTCTATGTGTCTCTCCGACTCTGTCTCTCTGTCTCTGTGTGTGTGTCTGTGTGTGTGCGTTTCTCTCTGTCTCTCTCTGTCTCTCTGCTAGTTCGTGCTCCTGTGTTGCTGCCTGCAGTGGCCAGATGAGAATGTAGGATCCCCCGGAGCTCAGCTAACCAACTTCAGAGCTCTTCGAAAGCAGAGCAAACAACCCAACCATTGAGACACCTCTTCAGTCCCAACTTTAATTTTAGAGACAGCTTCTCACTGAACCTGTAGCTCCAAGCCTGGGTTCCTGGGAGCTGCCTGTCTTCACCCTCCCACATACCCCCATGGCTAGGGTCCCAGCTGCCCCTGCAATGCCCAGCATTTACAGTGTGGGTGAGAAAGTCAGGTCATGCTCATGCCTGACTGTCAGCATGGTACAAACTGGGCCGTGTTCCCAGCTCCTCTTTCTTTGTTTGTGAGATGGGCTCTCACACTCACAAGATCCTCCTGCCTCCGTCACACAAGCCCACACTGAGCTGCACATCACTGCGTCTGGTGAAAATGACCGTTACTTAAGCTTTTCTGAGAATGGGCTTCAGTTGTTTTTGAATGAAGAAATGTCCCCATCCAGTGGCCAGCGGACTTTTCACATGCTGGTTAACTCCTGCCGTCCAGACTCCTCCTCCATGTCCCTCCTTTGGGGGACCGTCCTCTGTTCCTCCTCCCTCATTTCTCTGAATACTAACCTCATTGCCAACTTGACAGGTTTTAGAATCCCTGAGGAGGCACAACTTTGGAAGGGGTGTCTACCAGGCTGCTTCCACAGAGGAGTGACTCAGGGGACCCTTGGTGCTCCCTGGGTAGGCAACCTAGCCATACCGACAAGTTCCAGGCCAGTGAGAGTCCCCCTGTCATAAAACAAGATGGCAGCACCTAGGGACAGACCCCTGAGGCAGGCACACACACACACACACACACACACACACACACACACGAATGCACACACTTGAGCACACACACATACACACTGCCACATATGAACATACACACACAGTCGCCACCTTGCGGGATAAAAACCACCATTACTGTTATTATCCTCCCTCATACCGCGGTGTAGAAAAGGGTCGTTGAAAGGTTAAAACCACACAGCCAGTCGGAAGGGGCAGAGCGGCTTCTGACACGGGACTCTGACTCCCGGCTTTTCCGTGTGGCTTTGGGAACGCCTGCAAATCCTGTGAGTCTCGGAGATGATAAGGCAGCCACCTACAGCTGTGGAGCCCTCAGCGGGAGGCTCCCGACCCTCCGCGGAGGGCACACGTTGGGCTGGCGCCCTCTGCTGGGGATCCAATGTAACAACATGTTTTTCTTTCAAGTGCCTCGAGGCCCACACCCACTGAGTCCCGTACGGGGTACAAAGGACAGGTTCTCAGGGTAAAACGAGGCCCAACTGCTTCTTTAAGCCTGTGAGAGTGGGGCTGGGAAGGACATCCAGATGTCAAGGCAGCTGGCGTAACGCTCTGGCTTGGCAAGACAAGAACCAGAGAGCCCTGGTACAGCGGGCAAGCGAGGCTCGGCGTTCAGTGCAGAGCTTGTCTGAAAGATGGAGCCTCCCCGCGCAGGCTTTGCAGCCGGCCCCTCTCTGCTGCTTCGAGAGAGAACTTTTGAGCAGGCAGAATGGTGGTTGATCGGTGGTTAAGTCGGTAAACTCGACTCTGCCCCAGTGGGGCGCAGGCGCGGGCAAGTTGTGTAGTCTCTTTTGGGCACCAGTCCTGAGCATGCGCAGTGGGGCCTTGGCCGCGGCTGTGCTGGGAAGTGGTTAGGACCACCTCCGGCAGCTGAGTTAGAATAGAACACTTCATTCCTTCTGTTAAGTTTCTGTTTCAAACAACACATTGATTACCTCGCGGCTCCCAGGTGAAAAATCTGGGCGGATTCCGGCTCTGCTCTGGGTGTGGACCCGAGTTCCCCCTGCCGGTGTGCCTCCTGGCCCATGCAGGACCCTCTTTTCCTTGCTGCCTGTCAGCTGGAGGGCATCTTCAAGCTCTGGAAGCTGCCCGTATCCCGCGGCTTCTGGCACCTTCGCCTTCACGGCCAGCAACAGTGGCTGGCTGCCTGTGACCTCCCCTTCAGACTCTCCTCCCTAGATCCAGGCTGCAGGCTGGTCTGGGGTGTGTGTGTGTGTGTGTGTGTGTGTGTGTGTGTGTTGTATACGTGTGAGAGGAAGAATGCGTGCATGTGTGTGTGGAGATCAGATAACTTCAGGTGTTATTTTTCCTCTCCACCCCTACACACGCATACACACACACACACACACACACACTCATTTTTTTTTTACAGTGTCTCTCGGTCGCCCACAGCTCACTAAATAGGCTAGACTGGCTGGCCAGTGAGCCTCGGGGATCCACGGCTGGGATGACAAGCATGTGCCCCAAAACCAGGCTTTTTCATGGGGATAAACTCACACCCTTACACTCACAAGGCAAGCGAGCCCTCTACCAACAGAGCCACCTCTTCCGCCCTTGAAAGCCCCCCTCTCCTGTGATTCCGTTAGTCCCACAGATCCGCAGTCTTCCTCACATGCATGCAATGCCGTCTGCCACAGAGCAGAGCTCTTGGTCCCCTCTACTCTGAAAATGTCCTTCTGCCCGGAGCCCTGTTCCGGCTCATCGTGGTTGTCACATGGGAAGAGGGAGCCCCAACTAAAGATCTTCCTCCTTCAGACTGGCCCGGGGGCGTGTCTTGCTTACTGATTGACGTGTGAGGACCCAGCCCTCTCTGGGCGGCACCATCCCTGCGCAGGTAGGCCTGGGCTGTATAAAAACGGTAGTGGAACAGGAGCCTGGGGAGCAAACTCCCCACGGCTTCTGCTTCAGCTCCCGCCTCCAGGTCCCTGCCCTGCTTCACGGTGATGAACTGTGACTGTAAGCCAAACAGAAACCTTTCCTCCCCAAATCCACGTTTGGTCAGTGTTTATCTCAGCAACAGAGACGAAGACTAGGATAGAATCGGAGCCTAGATCCTCAGCTCCCACATGAGGTGCCATGCTGGCAGCACACACCGGCACACCCAGGGCTTGGGATGGCTCGGTGAGAATCTAGTCTCAAAAGTTGAGGCAAGGAGTGATGAAGAGACCTGCTGTGTGACACTATTCCTGGAGAGGCTTGAGCAAATATCTTCCCAGGCAGGGAACTGACGACAGACCAAAGTACAGAAACCACCGAAGTCCAGCTGGGTGAGACAGTGAGTTTTACTGGGGTTGCCTACAGGAATGCAGGTGAGGGGTTCCTTACGGGAGCAGAAACAACTCAAGGAGAGCCGCCTGGCAGAAGCCCGCCCCAGCATGGGTGACAGCTCACAAAGCTGGGAGCCTGAGGCGCACTGCCCAGCCTGCAGGGAGCTTGGCAGCGTGGAGAGTCCTTTCCAGGTGTCTCTGCTTCTTCCAGGAGGCTCAGCTTGTCCGAGTGTCTCCCTCAGCAAGCCTTACTGCTTATATAAGCTTGGGGAGGGAGGGACTCGGCGCTTGTGCTCGGTTCCGGGAACTTCCTGAATGATGCCTCTGAGTTGTGTACTTCCGGAGCTTAGAGAGCTTCCCAGCAGGATAATCTTTCACCTCCCCCTAGAACATTCTGTTGTTCCATATGTGTACATATGCATTTTCGTACACACCCGTGCACGCGCGCGCGCGCACACACACACACACACACACACACACACACACACACGGACCCAGCAAGGAGGCTCAGTGTCAGGATGTTGTTCTTTTTCATTCTCCTTGTTTCCTGACTGTCTTTCTGTATCTCAGTCCTCAGACATTGACAACCACCATGCACTCATCGAATTCAACGAGGCCGAGGGCAGCTTTGTCCTTCAGGACTTTAACTCCCGCAACGGAACGTTTATCAACGACTGCCACATTCAGAATGTGGCGGTGAAGCTGATCCCTGGCGACATTCTGCGGTTCGGGTCTACGGGGCTGACCTACGAGCTGGTCGTCGAGAACCCGCCCCAGGTGAGCCCAGCCTCTGCGTGGATGGAGGGTGGAGGTGGGGTGCGAGGCTGGCTTGCGCCGCTGTCTGTTATCCGGTACAGCCGCCTGGACCGTTCTGCTACCCCACACCGCCCACACAGGACATAAGCAATAAGACTCCTCCCCAGCCCAGCTCCGCCTCCCCTGGCTGCCAGGAGGCCTGGAGGAGGAAGGCGTGTCAGCGCCCCCTGATGGGCACTTCCCCGAATTACATACAGCCGCCGCACAAGTCCCCAGTGCCGACCCTGGGCGGCTTCAGCAGAGGCTGGAAGCAGCTGGATGGTTTTTAAGAACACAGAGATGAGTGCCTCCCTTCCAGGCTGCTCAGCTCGGCTGCTTCCCTTTGGCCGGGCACAGACCCTCTGGATGACAGGCGTCTTCTCCACAGTACCTGACCTTGAGAGGGTATATCCTTAAACCGTGAAAGCCGTATCAAAGTACATGGTTGTTGACACATGCCAATACCACTATTTTGGCCCAGATCAGAAATGGACCTGCGGTCACGGTCTAAATTATAATCTTGATTTAAGTGAAAGAGAACTCAAAACTCGCAAAGCCTCGGTCCAAAGCTATCAGTTATCAGGGTTGGTGGCAAGAGCCGTTACCCACTGAGCCATCTCCCTGGTTTAGTATTGCTTTCTTAAAAACAAACAAACAAACAAAAAACAAACCAAAAACCAAAAAAGAAACCCTGACGCTTTGCCAAGGTGAAATTGTCCTACAACGAACTACAGGTGTTTCGAGGGTAGGGCTGGTGGTTTCGAGGCGTGAGTACCCCTGGAAAAATATGGCTACAACTACAGCAGGCAATGATCTTCCCCAACCCTACCGGAACCCCGACCTTCTAATGAGGCCATTTGCTTGAGAGCTGCCATCAGCAGCTTCACCCCAGCGTGAGTTACTCAAAATGTCTATTGTCTGGTCACCTGGTACAATCAAGTCAGTTCCCAGAGTCAGTTACCCTCATGAAGTGCGTTCAGAATGCTTCTCTCCCAAGGCCCCATAAGAAGCCTGTGGTGTTGCCGACTCCTTTGGTGGTCTGCTCTTATTTCTTCTTTCTAAATTGTGGCAAAATACATTTGACGCAGAACTGACCATTTTGCCCACATTCGTGGTGTTAAGTTTGCTTGCTTTAAGTCCGTTCTCTTCCTTAACTGTGAACAGATGTGGGTTCACATCTGTTTACAGCCTGTTTATCGCCTTGTTGCATCTACAGGCAAGCTTGGATGTTGATAGTTTTATACTCTTTGGTGGTGGTGGTGGTTTTTAACACAGGGTCTATATAATCCTGTAACTCTCTTTGTAGACCAGGCTGGCCTCGAACTCAGAGATCTGCCTCCTGTCTGCTCAGTGCTGGGATTAACGGTGTGTGCCACCACACCCAGCCCATACTCTCAGTTTAGTTCCTGTTGGCAGGCAATTAGACTAGCAGATGGGGGAGGGTCCTGTGTTTTCTGTTTGTCTGCATTTGGGCCTGAGCTGGCTCAAGCCACTTTCGAAAATGGTTCCGTTATTTTATTTCTTGCCCTGAGCTAAGTGAAGTCTGTAAGACCTGGGGTCTCACAGCTCAGGAGTTCAAGATCACGCCCTTCCCAGAAATTCCCCCAGACCACGGACTCGTTGCAAAAGCAAGAGGTTTAATTTAACCATTGCACAATGGGGTCACCCCTGCCGGTCAGCAAAGAGTGGCACTGGGAGACAAAGGCCTTTAGGTTTTTAAAAGAAAAATTGCGGGAGATTTGAAGTTGCAGTTTTGGCAATTTAGGATTGGATGAGGAAGCTATAAAGTAAGATAATTGGTTAGTCTTAGGTGCTCAAGCTTGGTCAGTCCTGCCAAGTGTGGATGCAGCTGCAATTTAAGGTGGGGGTGGTTAGCTCATCCTTGAAGATTGGGGGCTGTGGACTTTTGGCTGGAGGTCAAAAGCTACTCAGAAGAAGTCTGGGTTTGTTGCTAAGAAACATTATCTTGAAGATAAGGGTCTGGTCGTTCCTTTTCCTGAGTGAAGGTCATTGCTTGCTTGCCTTCTTTTATATCTGTCCTCACAGATAGGGTCACATTCCTCCATTCTCTGGAAAGGTACTAAGAGGCTTTAGCTTAACCTGAACCTAAAACTCAAAACTATAGGCTTTAGAAGACATAGAGGTTACAAAGTTAGTCTAACCCTTTCAGAGTCCAGTACTTGTGCTTGTAAGTGAAGTTGTATCAAGACATGGCCTTGCCTGTGTGTGTGGGTACTTTCCTGATCCACTGGCAAAGCCAAAAATATTTACCTCCTGCCCTGATATGAGTTTACCAACCCCCTGGGCACTCCACTCCAGCTCTGCTCGACGCCCTCCAGTTTTACTCACTTTCTCAGGAAAGAATTTAAAAATGGAGGCAGAGAGAGAAGGGACTTTGGTGTGCTGAGCCCCTCCTCTGTTTGCCTAAGGCTGTGCCGATTAATAGTTTACTGGGCTAACTGAGAAGTGAGAAAAAGAAAAATAGACTTTGAACACTCTCTCCACTGTCTCTTTAAAACAGCAGCTTTGGACACACTTATGCAAATGTGGTTATGTTGGTATGTGTGCAAATGCTCGATCATTAACACACAGTGTGTACACCAGGAGCCTATGACAAGTGCCTGTCCCTTCGTCTGGGAAGTTTTCTTTGAGAACTCTGGGGTGTTTCCTCGATGGAACTTCTGAAGCAGGAAAGCGGCCTTGTGCTCTGAAGCAGGCTGTAGATCAGCAGTTCTTAACCTGTGGGTTGCGACCCCAAAAGACCACTGGAGAACACCAATATCTATGTTGCGATTCATGACGGTAGCAAAATTGCAGTTATGAAGTAGCAACAAAAATAATTTTATGGTTGGGGGTCACCGAAACATGAGGAACTGCATTAAAAGGTTGAAAACAACTACTGTAGATGGAAGTGGGGTTTGTGGTTGTAGCTACAAGTGGGGTTTGTGGCTGTGGCTGACCTGCCTTTTTATTTTTCAATTCTCTAAACTTTCACTACCTGTCTTAGTCTAAATCTCTTCTTCTCTGGGCCACTGTTCCAGTTTTTAGTTTCGTAGGTGATTGCAGTGGGGTGCGTTCTTTTTGAGCCTGTCAGAACCCGTAGAGCGCCTTGTTTGTGGGCACATAAAGTCCTCAATGAGTTTATTGTCCAGGAAATTTCATTCCGGGTCAGAAACCCAGATCAAACTGAGCAAAAACAAACGAATTGAACCATGTAACTGGAAAGCATCTAGTCCAGGCCGGGCTCTCAGATGATGTTCAGGGATCCGGCTCTTCCTGTCACTCTAACTTCACAATCTCAGGCAGATTCTGCCTGGGGCTTGCCTGGAGCAAGGCCTCGCCAGCAGCCCCAGCACCAGCTATGTTCTGTTTCATTGGTTTGTCTAAGGTCATGTGTCTATCTGGACCTTGTCAGTGATGCCAGAGGCATGGGTGCTCTGATTGGCCAGGCCCTCTCACGGGCATTTTCCTGAATGGAGGAGGTCAGCTCTGCTGGGATTTTGTGTACTCTGAACTGAGAGGGCAAAGTGCTGGCCGGCAAGCATGAGTTTGGTTGTTGGTTTCTCTGTATTTTTCATGGGGCATGCATGTTTGCATGTGAGTTGGTACATGTATGTGGGGGTGCATGTGGAAGCCTTAAGTTGATGCCAGATAATCATCCTCAATGGCACTTTCACCTAATTCATTGAGGCAGGGATTCCCAATCCAACCCAGAGCTATGGATAAAGCTAGTCTCAGTAGCCAGCCTGCTGTGCCTTCCAAGGCTGGAGTTACAGGTGGGCCACCATGCCCACCCAGCATTTACCTGGGTTCTAGGGATTCAAACTCTAGTTCTCGCACATGTGTGGCAGGTGCCTTAAGTACTGAGCCATCTCCCCACCCCTGAAGAAGTGATTTTTTTTTTTTTTTTTTACTCTGAATGTTTTTATTCACTCAGATTGAGAATAACTCTTTATATGTGGGTCCACTACTCTACTCAGTATTGATCAAATATATAATTATGAGAACAGTAAAATGAATTACTGATTAAAGAAGCATCTATTTTTCAGTTTAAAGTCAAAATTCTTAGCTTATTTTTTTCTTTTTTTATATTAAAATTTTATTAATTTTTTTCCTTTCTTTTTTTTGAATTTTATTTTTTTCTTATCAGTTACATTTTATTAACTCTGTATCCCAGCCGTGTCCCGTTCCCTCATTCCCTCCCAGTCCCTCCCTCCTGAAGAAGTGAATTTGATCCCCAAAAAGCTGGGTGTGGCTTTTTGGCCAGTCAGGCGAGTCAAACCTTCCAGCGCTAGGTTCAGCCAGAGACTACATTTCAAAACCTTAAAGTGGAGGGCAATTGTAAAGGACCCCTGATGTTGGTCTCTGGCCTCCATATGTGCATGTGCCCTCACAAACACATGTGCCCCGCTCATATGAGCCTCCATACACACTAAGTACACATGAAAAATTAAAGAAACAAAAGAACAAACTTGTGCATATATCATACAGACACACAGAATGGAGAGAGGGAAGGATCTGTCTCCCATAGAAAAAGTAAGGCACAGCCCAGCGCTGCCCTGAAGAGGGGCTAAAAGGTGCACATAGATGGGCTGTGGGGACACACGGACGCTGCCATTACAGGAAGAGTCCCTGGTGCCTGAGCAGGGAGTCCTCTCAGATACAAGGATGGAAATGGCGATAATCTGTTCTCCACTGGAAAAGCCTCCTCCGGGAGGATGCTGGAAGGAAGCAAGCACCATCCATCCCAGAGAGGTAGCATCTTCACACACTTGGCTCTTGGCTCTTGAGAAGGCCATGGCGTCTGCAACACGGTGGAGTGATGGTTTTCTCCGCACTGAGCTTGACATCTGGAGGAGCCTAAGCACGCAGAATCCTGGGGCCAGGACCGTCATTTACAAATTTATAGGTACGTTTTGTTTGTAATCAGATTTTTTTCTCTCTCATTGAGTGGACTGATCTGGAAGGGGATTCATGCTTGA